CCCCCCCCCCCTCTTTCCCCTGCCATCCTGAAACTCCCACCACAGCCAACTAATCCATACCCCCCTCACCGAGAGGACAGGGAACAACAACCCTAAACCTCTACAGCAACACCCTCCTGGTAGGCAACGTCACCCTGGACAACCTCACCCTCACGCCAGGCAACCACTCCACCCCGGTGCGCGGGGTCTTCGACCTGGGCAAGGTGATCACCAACCTGGGCCGGGTGCTCCGGGACCAGCGCGCGGCGATCAAGCGCGGATACCTGGATCTGACGACTGTCGGCACGGACGTCACCTACGATGGCGTGCAGGTGCCGTACTACACCGACGTCATGCGGAACCTGACCATGACAGCGCAGGTGCCGCTCGGGAAGCTGGTGGAGAATACCCTGCGCGGGGTGTTGGTGCGGAATGGGACGAATCTTCTGGCGGGGTTGAATTTGACGACTGTCCCAGCGTATGTGCGGAGTGAATGAGTTGGGGAGGGGGCAGACCTGGGAGGACGGTCGTAATGCTATTCGGGGCTGCGTTTGTTGGGTGTCAATTACGATGGATTCCGAGAAGTTGGATATGTCGATAGGGCTCTCATCCCAGCTGCGTGGTGGATATATAATTCGTCCTGTACTGTACTTTTTTAAACCCAGGCACACAAGCGGGACTTGTGAAAGGGACTACTAGTACCTATATTCATTCAACGCGATTGATAGTACTTTATCTAGCTCTCCTGTCCAGCACATCTTCTTCTTCATACTTATCAAAAGGACTTCGATACCCACAGGGTTATCCTCGTTCCTGCTCCGTTAATCATACTGTCATCAGCTGCTTCGTTTTTGCTGGAACATGTAGCTATCTTTCCAAGCCCTTCCCATCAAACAGGCAAGATGGCCGAGTTGGTCCAAGGCGTCAGGTTAAGGTCACCTTAGCATACAGCTTGTACATAGCTTCCTGATCATCGTTTGATGGCGTGGGTTCGAATCCCACTCTTGTCATTACCTTTTGGTTTTTGTTTGTTCCGTGGCGGCCGGTGGCCGGTGGCCGGCGATAAGTAGAGGCTCCCTCAGGAGGGAGGGACTTCAACTACACAATGAACGTTCAGTACAGCTCGAGCTGTATTCCATGCAGATAACGCCCGGCAGGGTAGCTGAGCATGCATGGACGACATCCCCCCTCATCGTCCGGTCGGCAGCTATGCCATGCATCATGCACTCTACCATTTCTGCAGTGCAGCAGTCACCAAAATCCAGGCACAGAGATGTGATGTTACACGTACAGTCGCTACCAGACCGTTTCCTCCAGAAGTAGTCCGTCCACAAGACCCCCGAGAGTCCGTCATGAGAGCACCCAGACCTAAACCCGGTGGTGACGATGTCCACCGAGTATGATCCAGGCCCAATGTCCACATACCCGGAGCCAAGCAACACCCCAGAGCATCCCCACAGCAGAACGCATTGTGCCGTCCTCGAAAAGTTATACGCTCCTGGGTCAAGTTAAACCCACCATACCTCCTAATCCAGCCCACTGGCCCCCCATTCCCTGAAATCAGTCCCTCACCTCGTCAGAAAAAACACCCCGGGCGTTCCCCGGGTCCCCTTAAATGCCGCAGGTAAAGCACGTTGGATATGGCGGGTCATACGTCTGCATCTTCACGAAAAGGCCGGATTGGATCCCCGTCGTCTTGAGACGATAAATCCCGCACTGAACCCGAATGTCGATTGGTCGCGGAGAAAAGAGGAGATAACGGGGTTGCGGACACAGACACGGGTCAGGGGGTATTCGTGGGAACCCTTACAAGCGTAAGCGTATGTATCCCGGTCAGGGGCCCTGGGGAACCATGCCGGGGCTGGAAGGCGTCGTTGACCGTTCACCTTAAACACCAGAGTCCGACTCATCAAGATGTTGCGGAATGTTGGTTGCGGCGCACTAGTCCGCAGGCCCGCTGACTACACGGCTCTAACCAACTATTTATAACATGGATCTATCAACACGAGCGAGTGCCACCTCCCTGAAAGCTCAGAATTGGCCAATTCGTAGAAACTGATAGCAAGGTTGATCCTCCTCAGATCGTGAGATTCAAAAGTATATACAGCGAACGGTCGTTATCATGCAAAATGCTCTATAGCAAAGATAAGCAAGATAAAAGAAAACGAGGAAAATAAGAAGAAAAGAAGTGGAAGGCATCAAAGGCAAACAACCGACGATGTCCGATTTCAGCTCAAGGTGATACGACAATGGTGGCTCCCTCAAACTCCAGATAGTCCAAAGTAAAAGGCATTGGGCAAATGTGATGGTTCGCAGAAAATATTATATGGTTATGCTAGTTGAGTTGGACGTAGTTTGCTGAAAAGACTGTTAGTGATTGCTTGCTTTGAAGCGGATTTGAGTTTGGCCGGCGGATTGTATCTTACCTGGAAATTGTCCCTCCCTGCCACTGACACGTCCGGTCCACCATTCGTTCTGGTTGTCGGTTCGGTGGATAATCTCGATGACCTCGCCTGCAGAAAAGCTGAGGTCCCCGTGCGCCTGCGCCTCGTAATCGTAGAGTGCGGTGACAGTCTCGACGGGCGCGCTAAACTGGGCGGGCTTGGGCTTGGGGGGCGGCGGGGCGGGCTTGCTCTTGGCCGCAGCCGTGTAACTGCTGCCGGCCGCGCCCGCAGTGTATGGGGGTGGTGGGTTCTCGACCACATCGGGGTCCTTGTGTCGTGACGGATAGCCACCCTTGTTCTCCTGGGACAGCTTGTCCTTGGGTCCAAACTTTGACCCTGGCCGGCGTCCTCCCGTGGCCTTGAAGTGCACAATCGTGAGCGCCTCCGCCTGCTCCTTGACGTCACCGCGCTTCGCCTCGAATGCCTCCTCGATGTCCAGCTGCAGGTTGAAGTAGCCGATGTTGATACTCTGCATTCGTTCGTGGAGGGTGTAGAAGACGTTCAGTTGCATGTAGTAGAAGGATTGGAAGAGCGGGCGGATGAACTCGGCTTCGAGCGCAAAGAGTTTGGGTAGCTCCTCCTTGAGCAGGTCGTTGTAGTAGTTGTATTCCTGCGTGGCCTGCTCCACGTCGTTTTCGGCCTTGTAGAGAGCTTTCTCATCCTTGAGCGACTTGTCCTTCTTGTCCTGTAGTTTCTTGAGCGAGTTGTTGTGGCGATCGTAGTCCAATTTCTTGTGGTCCCGTTTCACAGCCACCTTGCGAATGACCTTGATCACTTCCAATAATTGTTCCGCAGGACTGATGACGCGGGTCTCAATCATCTCCAGCTCGGGCACGAGGGACTCCTGCAGATCGCGCACGATTGCCTCGTATTCCTCACATGCCCTAATTCCTTCCGGATTGCCCTCAATAGTGTAGGTACTGGGGTCTGATGCACGGCCGGAGATAGGTTTGTATAATTCCGTCATCGCCTTGGAAAAGCCGATTTGATGGTTCAGCATGCCTGCCAAGTCGGTCAGCAACAGACGGTGAGGGGTAGGGAGCCTGGAGAGGGGGAAAGGGAACGGGAGTGGGATGGAGCCGAAAATTGAGAAATGCGGTCATACCATTGATGGCGTCGAAATACTTCTTCGACTCATCGTGGAGCTTTTTTGTTTCCTTCTCGAGTTCCTGAAATCTGCGCTCCGCATCCTGATAGACCGGGTCCTTGGTGTTTTCACCAATGTTGAACCGGGCCTTGAACTGTTGCGGTGCGCGAACAATGCTCTTCTGAAAGCCTTTCAAACTCATCTCTGATTTGCCGCAGGTAGCGCAACCCCGCGGAAGGAGCCGGTTTGGATAGAATGGAGGGGTGGAGGTCGTTCAGTACTGGACTGAGATGGTAAACAAGGGAATTAACACGGTCGGAGAGTCTTCAGGAGAGCAGAGTGGTGGAAAAGGGAAGAAGTGGGGGGAGGAGTTCCTTTTGTTCAGCACCGTCACTAGTTAGACTAAGTAACTTAAGGTAATTCGAGAGCCGGTGACGGTTAGACTGCGCTTCTCTCGGGCTGGGCACCGTGGCTGAGCTATGACATAACTGTGGCTGAGGACAGCGCGTTCGGAAACTCAAGGAAAGAATGGAGGTTCAAGGGAGACTTGAGTGAGTACGGTCTACGGAGTAGTGTGATCATATCCAGCAGTTTGACTGCAATCCCAGGTGAGCCAAACCTTATATTCAATTCTCGCTCATGCTCATCTTCAAGGCAACAATCCATGTACTGTAGCGCAGACCCTGGGGTAAGTCGATCGCAGCTGGTTGTGGCAAAGAGATCGAAGCGTAGGGCCGAACGCAAATCCGGGTCTCGGTCACTCACTCCCTCCTCAGCCTATGCCCCCCATGGATGTCATTAGGCACCAGAATATCTCTCATCTTCTGCCCGCTTCTGTCTGCGACAGGTGCGTGACCTTTTGGGCCTGAGCCTGAATTATGGATGAGGTATGAGGTACAGTACCCCTTGAAACTGGGGAACCGCCAGCACGGAACCCATCTGCTTAATCCGGGGTCGAAGATGCTTTGTTGATTGTTCGTCATCCCCCCTTGCCATTCTTATCCCATCAAGACAAAAGAATGTTATGCCTGGTGCTTGATGCCTTAGGCTCGCATTTGTGGAGAGTATGTACAGTACTCATATTGCCTCTCGTTGCCCCGTAACTCCATATTGAACAATCGGACCATCCCCGATCAGCCTCCGAACTGGAGGATTCTACGTGATCGGAGTGATATGCACCTCCAGCCCCTCCTCTCCACTAGCCCTACGAACACTTCTCCGTATCTAATCATCCTTTCTCCGACCTCGCAATGCCCCTGGCCTGGCTCTCTAAACACCGAGACCGCCACTCAAACGGGAAATGCCCGGAGTATCTGACAAATCCGATCGGGGCTAGCGGGCTCGGCAACTAATGATATAACCGGATCCAAACTTTTTCCTCACCCAGCGAACTCACCCGCCGCCCCCCCCTCTGCTGCTGTCATTCTGCATCTGTTTCATCTCACTGTCCATCCAACCTTTCATGGTACAGTCGCAGAATTAACTGCATTATGTCCAGTATGACCCCTGCTGCCTTGAGACAGGCATCCCGAGCCTATGCGCGTCGCTTCCAGCATGGCTCCCTGAACTCCTTCCTGCCCAGACGGGCGCTCGCCACCGGTGGCATTGTGGCCCGGAGATCCTATGTCACCGAGACCAAGGCGGGAAATGCCCAGGTCACGATCGATACCGCTATCAAGCAGGAGCAGAAGGCTTTTGCCAACCAGACCGGCGTCAAGCCCGGACGCGTGGAGCTACCTAGCTCCAGCGTCTCCGGAGATGCCGCGATGAGCCCGACCGCGGGCATCTTGAAGCAGGCTACGATCATGGATCAAGGAACGCGACCCGTGTATCTTGACATGCAGGCGACAACCCCGACCGATCCCCGCGTGCTTGATGCGATGCTGCCCTACCTGACTGGCATCTACGGCAACCCTCACTCGAGAACCCACGCCTACGGTTGGGAATCAGAGAAAGCTGTCGAGCAAGCTCGTGAACACGTCGCCAAGCTTATCGGAGCCGATCCCAAGGAGATCATCTTCACCAGCGGTGCCACCGAGAGTAACAACATGAGCATCAAGGGTGTCGCTCGGTTCTTCGGTCGCTCCGGAAAGAAGAAGCACATCATCACCACCCAGACTGAGCACAAATGTGTCTTGGACAGCTGTCGCCACCTCCAGGATGAGGGCTTTGACGTGACATACCTGCCCGTGCAGAACAACGGTTTGATCCGCATGGAGGATCTTGAAGCCGCCATCCGTCCGGACACTGCCCTTGTCAGTATCATGGCCGTCAACAATGAGATTGGTGTCATCCAGCCATTGGAGGAGATTGGCAAGCTTTGCCGTTCTAAGAAGATCTTTTTCCACACCGATGCCGCTCAGGCGGTCGGCAAGATCCCCCTGGACGTGAACAAGCTCAACATCGACTTGATGTCCATCTCCGGCCACAAGATTTACGGCCCCAAGGGTATCGGAGCGTGCTACGTCCGCCGCAGACCTAGGGTTCGTCTCGAGCCTTTGATCACCGGTGGTGGTCAGGAGAGAGGCTTGCGCAGTGGTACTCTTGCTCCTCATTTGATCGTCGGCTTTGGTGAGGCCAGTCGCATTGCGGCACAGGATATGGAGGTACGTTCGCGTTCTTTATTTCTTTTGCCGTGTCTCGCGTTGCCTGAGTGTCTTTCTGTGGCGCATTGGCTATGATTATACGCTTTAACTGTATCACCATCTGAGTGATCGCGGGGGTAGCTACGTGCGTTTGCATGTTCCCGCGGCTCTATGATGTACATAGCAGGGGTGATGAGCCGAGTTGCCTGCCACTGATTGGTGTCGATCTAACCTTGCGTGAGAGACGTATGCTGACCATCATGACTGTATAGTACGACTCGAAGCACATCTCCCGTCTCTCGAAGCGTCTGAGCGACGCACTTCTTGGCATGGAGCACACCACTCTCAATGGAGATGCTACCCGTCACTACCCGGGCTGTGTTAACATCTCCTTTGCCTACATCGAGGGCGAGTCCCTTTTGATGGCCTTGAAGGACATTGCCCTGTCGTCCGGTAGTGCTTGCACTTCTGCCTCGTTGGAGCCCAGCTACGTCCTGCGGGCGCTTGGTAGCAGCGACGAGAGTGCACACAGCAGTATCCGCTTTGGAATTGGCCGTTTCACGACGGACAGCGAGATTGACTACGTGCTCAAGGCCGTCCAGGACCGGGTTACCTTCCTTCGTGAGCTGAGCCCGTTGTGGGAGATGGTGCAGGAGGGCATTGATCTGAGCACCATTGAGTGGAGCCAGCACTAAAACCTTTCTTTCTTTTCACTTCTGCGTCTCAGAATGACTGGAATGTGGTCGGTCGGGCAGCAGGCGCAGACATGTTCACTGGGTTGTTTGCTTTTTCTCATCCACGATATCAGCGGTGGTACGGCGTTCGGATAGCGTGTAACATTATAGGCCTGGGATGATCTGAGTGAGATTGTATAGAGAATGGATCTTAATGACTGCTTGAGATGTGTTGGCTGGTTCGAATTGTAGGTGTAGTTGGTGTAAGCGGAGTGTATCATGGTAATCTCGGTTAATTTGGAAGGCATTCGGGATGGCAGCATAAGAATCAGCCGAGTGACATGTTTAGTCTATTGATCGTCATGATCCTAGTGAATTGCAAAGTGGGAGTCGTTATGCGGCTCCAGCGTTGAGGCACGTGGGCAGGCTGCAGCGGAGAGCAACTACCAACAGGAAGAGTGGTGATGTAGTGCAAGACAGGAGATTTTCTGCTTGAATGGACTGCAGGAGACAGACAGTTCAAGAGCACGAGGAGATAAGCATGCTTGAATCCGGAGGAATGGATAATACTAAGGCAAGTACTCAGTGATGCTGAGAGATTGGCCCCGAGGTGGCCCCGAGGTCGGGGTATTCATACTTGGTAACTTACAATAAGGTAAGGTCCCTCACCGCAGACCGGAATGGGGTGGCGTGGGTGGGAGCGAACACGCCCCAAGACTCGCTTAACCGCCCGATCTCGCACTCGTCCCCCTCTTTGCCGCCCTCCGGTTCATTCTCTAGCACTCAGACTAGTTCTCCCCCGGTGGACACCCCTTTCGCTCACACCCAACGCCACCGTTGGTGCTTCATACTTACTCCATGCTTCATCCGCCAGCTCTCCCCATGGGAACTATATCTCATCCGCCAGTATCAACAATGTGAATCGGTCTATTGATGAAAAGACTCTCATCTCTATATAGTCTCGCAAACCAATTCCCACCCTTCCCATCTCCCTGCTTCAGCTCTGTACCACGACCATGACTATGAATACCACCTCCATCGATCCTCGACAGGCAACCCTCCCTCTCTATAAGTCGAAGCCGTCCCTCCTGGTCCGGCCCACTTGACTCTGGCCGTCTGTCTCGCCATCCACGGATTAGTTGACCTTACCTATGTTCACCTCAACTCAAAACGAGCAGGATGAAATGATGACTACCCCTGTCTCGTGTCCGCACGGCTTAATTCCCGCTGGAAATCAGCTCATCGCCGGTCTTTGTCCGGATTTTCGCGCTGATTAATTCACCCCTCAACCCCCCCCCCCCCCCCGGTTATTCGGTCTCTGGATGGAGGTCACAGTCTGCTGCGATTTAACTTCCCGGCATATTGCCTTTCTCTGTTTTGCTGACTTGGTTTGACCAGGCGTGTCCTGTCTTCGTTCCTGGTAAACTTCTTCTCCTCCCCCCTTCACACCCTCCGTGGCCTTCCGTGGCAACCGAGATTTATATTCTAAGAAACTCCGAGTCTCAAACCGCCTTCCATGCTTGTTTTCTTTCCCTGCTTTTCACCCCTGTCATGGTAGAATAGACGCAGATTTGTTTTCTTGCCTCTTCTTCTTTTGCTTGCCACTTCCTGGCTCTCATACAACACATTCTGACACCAGTCAGACCGACTCTCCGCGGTTGATCCCTGACTCATTCAATTCTGGCCTGGACTCGACCAACTCGGTTGTCACACGAGGTTCGCCCTGCGAACATTTGCACTGGCACTCGCACAGCCATTTCGGAGCTTCTTCTCCTTTCGTACATCAGGTTCCAGATACACGACTGCCAGCTCTGCTTTGCGGGTCCTTGAGCCTGACGAGACATTGCACGTGAGCAGCAGCAGCTTCGAATAAAATAAACCGTTTGTCTGGCTGCTGTGGTCCTCCTTCTCATTCACCTTAATCCCTTTTCAGGTGCTCTTCTTGGCACTACTGCACTATCATCATGCTTCCCCCCATTCCGGCTCTGGCAGACTACGGCATCTCGCCAGACCATGGGTTCCTGCCACCCGAGCCCCCCATCGACGTGCTTCCCGACCCATACTACGCTCGGTGGGAGTGGATTGTGTCCAACATCCAGGCACTCCTGATCAGCCGACGGATCCGAGAGGCGGTGGATCATATGCCTCTGCTATCTGTTTCATACCTGCAGGACGACAGCGAGTGGAGGAGGGCGTACGTGGTACTGGTGTTCATGCTACATGGTTATGTCTGGGGCGGAAGCAGGCCCGCCGAGGTTGGTGACACGGGGACCCCTACGAAGTGATACATTCTGAGCTAACGATGGTGGTGGGTCTTCAGAAAATCCCTCCCCAATTGACGGTGCCGCTGTTCGACGTGTGTGATCACCTGGGCCTGCCGCCAGTCGCGACCTATGCGGGCGTGTGCCTGTGGAATTACAAGCCGATCTTCCCCGACGAACCGGTGGATGACCTGCGTAACCTGGACAGCATCAACACCTTCACGGGCTCCTACGACGAGAAGTGGTTCTACCTGGTGTCGGTGGCGATCGAGGCTCGTGGGGCACCGTCCATCCCGCTGGTGCTACAGGCCATCGCGGCCGCCCGGGCTGGTAACAGCCTCGTCGTGACCGAGTGTCTGCAAGGACTGGCCGAAGTGATCGACGAGGTAGGCTCTCTGCTGGAGCGCATGTATGACCACTGCGATCCGTACGTGTTTTATCACCGCATCCGGCCATACCTGGCGGGCAGCAAGAATATGGCGGACGCCGGGCTCCCCCACGGGCTGCTGTACGACACTGGCCGTGGTGAAGCAGAATACCGGCAGTATGGTGGGGGCAGCAATGCGCAGAGCTCGCTGATCCAGTTCTTTGACATCGCCCTGGGGATCGAGCACCGTCCCACGGGCGAGACCACTCGTCCTGGTGGTACCGCCGGTGACGAGCAGAAGGAGGGGGTGATCGGGGCGCCCCGCCACGGGTTTATCCAGGAGATGCGCTCGTATATGCCCGCGGCCCACCGCCGGTTTCTGGAGCATGTGAGCGCGGTCGCCAACCTCCGGGAGTATGTGGAGGCGCGCCGCTCGGATAAGGCGCTGTGCATTGCGTACGATGCGTGCCTGTCGATGCTGCGCGTGATGCGCGACAAGCACATCCAGATCGTGTCGCGGTACATCATCATCCAGTCGCGCGACGCCCGGCCGGGCCGGCGCGCCACCAGCCCCAAGCGACCGCCCCAGCAGCAGATGGCGCAGCCGACGAACCTGGCAACCGCCCGCTACGGGGACAAGGCGGACCCGAAGAAGCTGCGGGGCACGGGGGGCACCGCGTTGATTCCGTTCCTGAAACAGGCGCGGGACGAGACGGGCGAGCCAGCCATTGACGCGTGGGCGCGGCGCCTGCTGAGCAACGGGCCGTCGGAATCCAGTTTCGCGGCGCTGAGCAAGGTGGGGGAGAACCACGATGGGAACCTCCAGGTGGTGGGCTTGTCGGGGACGTGGGCGGCGGATGATAGTGAGGGAGGGATTTGTCATTGGTAGGGGTTGTCATCTTTTCCATTTCTTTTCTACCGTCTTAGCAAGCATTGAGCGATTGATTTTCATTACTGTATCTCATGAGAGTGAAGGTGGTGTGGGGGCACCACAAATTGGCATTCTACTCAGTATGTACACCTGTATAGACAGATCGACCCAGATTGAGCAACAAACAAGCCTTTTCGTTCAACTATGACCATGTAATTCCTGATTGTCACACGTCATGGAGGTACATTTCCGATGTCAGTGGTTCAGTGGTTCCTGAGAATGACGTCGATGGAGGAGGGGGTGAAAGGGGTGGCTTGGTGAGGTGACGTCATTGTTGGGGGGTGGGTTTTACCCCAGATGAAGCCTTATAAAAACATCACCGTCACCTTCGTTTCATCAACAACAACACCAACACAAACAAACCACAAGCAACCACCACTACTACATCTTCCAGAATCCAAGCAAAACCCCTACTTCTACCTCATCCCACGAACCCAATATCCAACCAACCAAAATGTCCAACGAAAACTCCTCCACTCTCAAGTCGTACCTCGACCAGGCCACGGGCGCCGCCCAGCGCGCCATCGGCTCCCTGACCGGCGACGCCTCTACTCAGGTACATTCCCCTGCCCCATCCCCCCATCCCCCCTTCCCCCACTCTTTTTCTTGAGATGAAAATACTAAGTTCGCCACAGAACCAAGGCGAAGCCACCCACCAGCAGGGCAAGGCCGAGAACGAAGCGAGCCACACGACGGCGAAGCTGGGCCCGGTGACGGCGGACCCGGCGACGGGGGCGACGGCGACGGACCACCCCAAGCGCACGGAGGGCAGCTGGGACCAGACGGTGGGCGCGGCCAAGGAGTCGCTGGGCAACCTGGTGGGCAACGAGTCGCTGCGCCGCGCCGGGCAGGAGCAGAACGCCGCGGGCAAGCAGCAGGAGGCGGAGGGCCAGCTGAAGGACTGGGGCGAGGGCGTCAAGGGCCGCGTCGAGGGCGGCGTCGGCAAGGTCGCGGCCGCGGTCACCGGCGACGAGGCGCAGGAGCAGCGCGCCAAGGAGATCCACGACTCCGGCAAGGTGCGGCAGCGCGGCGCCGAGGCGGATATTGAGCGCCGCGCTTGAGGGCTCTGGTGTTTTTCGGGGGAGGGGTTATGAGTTATGATATCTCTGTAGTTTTATAGTAATTTATGGTTTTTTTTTTCTGTGGTTGTTTTCCGTGGAGGTTGCGTTGGCTGGAGTTGGAATTGTTCTACTCGTAGCTCGTAGTATTTAGGTTGAGTTGGGCCAGGAAGTTGAAAGGAAGGGGGGTGCGGGGGTTCTCCCCCGGGCCGTCTTAGTCTTTTAGTATATGTGGATGAGGTGCATGAGTAGCTTGATGTATGCATGTACTATGTACATGTCAAGTTTGACTTGCATTATGCATGTGAGTTTAACGTGGACCATCTGGTGTATACCTAACCAGTATGCACAGTACAGTATACTGTCTGTTTTGCATTTATGCAGCTATAGACGCAGTATGCGGGGACTTCAGCTAGTACCTATTCCGATCTGCAGGGGAAATTTAAGACCTGGTTGAGGAGATGAACCCGATGGAGATAGCAGAATTTAGGGTAATCCGTAATGGCGCTGAGACACCGAGACCACAGCGGCAGAGCAATCGAGTTGCAGCTTCACGATATTACATGCAAGCCAGAATACGTCCATTGCCGTCGACAGCAGGCGCGAACTTGCGTGCTCCCATGTCATTCCTTCCTACGTGCGAAATTATCACCCCTGTAGTCTAATAGGTGGGAGAATCCGGTGGTGGAAATGGCCAGTTCTTCGCAGCTGCCTCAGGCATGACATCTTCGCTCATTGTTTCAATGTACAAATCGTACAGCTCCCTGTTTGCCTTTGCTGTCGCTTCCCAGCGGTCATGCGGAACCCAGCCGGCATCATCGGTGAGAAGCTGGTTCTTCACGATTTCACACAGATAGAGCCTATCCTCATATTGCAATTTTTGTTCATCTTGCCTTCGACGTTCAGTTCCTGATATCTGGAAGGGGCAGCTGCCTGGGAGCTCCAGTAAGGACCAGTCCTGGGATAAACGGATCAAACAATGGCGCAGGGGCACCAGACTACCATGGGAGAATAGCTGGCAGTAGGTGAAGGGCTGCCATAACCTGGAGTCGAGTTTCATAGCATTGTAGACACGCTGGTTATGTGCAAGGCTGGACATCTCGTAGTATTTCGACAACGAAGCCAACTTCTTGTTGTTGATAGCCTGTTCCTTTTGCTCGGGACTAAGGTCGTCGAAGCCATCCGGTAAGCCGGGTACGACGGGACCGAAAGTGTAGTCCTTCGGTGGCCTGAGAAACTCGGGGAATCGAGCTTGTATGAGCAAAGGACAGATTTGAGACGATTGCCAATCGATAATCCCTTCAATGACACTGGGCTCATTAGGAGAAACAAAAATGTTCCCCAGATGTAAGTCTGTGTGCCATAGAACAGGGTCTGAAGCACTTGTCACGCGTGGGTCTTGAGACAAGATCGGTAGTACCATGTCCATTTTTTCCAGAAGGCTTCGATATTCATCGACCGACTGTGATTCGTCGAAATGATGTAGTTGACGTTGCACCTCGGTCTCCGAACTTGCAATATGAGCAAGCTCGCGCTGGACAATCGACGACGCATATTCTGGAAAGTGCGTCCCTACGAGATATCAGTATCGCTCGTTACATGTCAGTGGCCTAGCACAGATGCAGGAATACCTACAAGGGCCTATATCTTTTGAGACTGATTGAGATTGGTCAGCGAAATTGCCGTGCCACCATGTTCGTTTACAAGACGGTCCAATGCAAAATAGCTCTTTAGGGTCAAGCTCTGGAGGGAGTGGATACCGTCGACATGTTGCAGGCAACGAGTCACGGAGAAAAAGACTTCCGTATGCTGGAAATGAGATATCGGCAAGCTCCTGCTCAACTTGTACAACCTGATCGATAATTTTGTAGCGCTCCAAGGTGTCCATTACCTCCCATGTCTCTGACAAGGCAACACCCCTTGTCCTTTCCATGATAATGAATTCGGCACCAACCGAATTAGCAGGGTCAGAGCTCCAGGCGATAATTTCTGGGACCGGAATAGACGTCCTTGACCGCACTAGAAAAGGAAAAGTGTAAGCACACGCCGACGCGAATAATGGAAAGCACGCCGAACATACGAAACTTCAGAGTGGCAACTTCTGAAGCCGTGGTTATTGATGGTGGGCCAGCATTGTGACACGGGATTTTTGCGATGACCTCGTTACCATCATCCATAGTGAGAAGTAACGCTTTGTTGAAGTTTCCCTCCAGCTTGACTACGCGAACACACCTCGTTGCATCACTGAAATATGCTGCAGCTCGGCGACAAAGACTTTCGAGGTCGAATGTTACATAACGCAGCTGCTGTTGGGCCTTTTCGTCAACGAGCCATCGACCTGACGTATAGCGAAAGAGATCTTCTGGTTTCCCTGCGGACTCTCTCATCGATATTGTTCGGTAAGGCGCTCGGCTCGGGTGCACCAACGCCGCATTGGGAGTGCGACTGATAGCAGCTAGAACCCTGTGAGATGGGAACTTTGCATGCAAAGGTCCAGAGTTAATCGATCGAGCACGACATAGAGACGAGCGCTGCCTCCACATAGTATGAGCGAAGCTTTGACTGGTGCCAGGGCGCCTGAAGTGCAAGAATCACGAGGCTCGGAGAAGAGGCGGAAAACGCGAGCGAAACGGATCGAATACCAAGAGCGAATCACGTGGAGTGGCCTGCCATCCTCACATACCCGCGAGTCGGAAGCCTTGGAGGCTTTCACCGAAAGCAGAAGCGAGTGATAGATACAGTAGTGAGTAAATAAGGTAGTATATACGCGTCTGTGTCATTTGTTTGGGGTTCAAGAAAGAGAGCTTGAACTTTTGAAGTAAGCCGACTACCATTTTGTGGAGGTGGGGCGACGGGCAGTGGAAATTTCCAGAGCGGACCTCCAACCCCGGACTCGGAGCCTAGGCCTTAACGTATTTTCAATAGGTTTTCAGACTCCCCCAAATATGCTGCACTACCAGCGTTTGGAGGGTTGATTCATTCAAGGTTGGATGTCGACAGATCTAGTGTAGGACCTTGTTGGCCAATGGTTGCTTTTTTCTTGACTGTAGTGATGCAAAGGTCCCTCCCATATTTCAAAAGTCTCGATGTCTCATAATTCGTTTCTTTGCAGCTTGACCGGATAAGCTGAACTGAGACCTATGGGAGAAGGCTTGGAGTGATTACGTAGACTGTACTGTCTGTAGCTTTCTGATAGAGTAGGTAGAGCTGACTGGGAGGAGTCTAGTCGGGTCACGTACCGGAGTATAGACAAAGACAAAGTACTTTTGATGTATCGTTGGGCTCTTTTTGAATGTGGCAGGCAAAGTGTACTCCAAAGTTCCAATCTTTGACGAATGATTCCTTGTAGGACAATTGCCAAAGTCACACTTCCCCATCCTAGCGCGGTCAATATTATGGCTTAAGTACAGCTGAGCGGACGGAAAGCCCTGCTTTTCACACCCTGTGGTCGTATGTACAGTACTGGTGACCTCACCTACATGGCTGATATCTTGCGTAGCAATCACCACCTGGAAGGCAGAGGTGGGAAAGGATGTCTGGTTCGTTGCCTCTTTGATATCAGCTTGTTCCTTATTCACTCGAACTCTGTCAGAAAGTCCGGGTGAGACCCGTCGAGAGGCTGCCTGCCTTTCCTTCCTCCGATTGTCAACCGCCGGACCTTTTGATCCAGGACATCCCTCTCCCAGCCTCCTCGTTGATGTCCTTTCTCTTTGAATTCTGATAAACTAGTCCTTCAGTACAGTTCCTCATCCGACCACGGCCTCTACTTTACATTCCCTTCTCTGGTTTGAAGACGCCGCCCAACCAACCCTGGAAGTTGTGGAGCCAGAAAAGCAGACTGAGTCGATTACGCTTGCGGACGTTCGCAGGAACATCCCCGGCGGAGATGAGGACGGCTGGAAGAAGGTGAGAGCCCGAACGGACAAAGCACTAGAGAAGACACTGGGCTTGAAGGCAGCAATGGACTCTATTCCTGGTGACGACTACTTCCGCTTCTGCGTACAGGCCAACATCGAGCGGCTGCCGGAATCCGTCACCCAGGCATACAGCAATGACCGTGAGTCCTGCCTCGAATCCCTTACATCCTATGCCGGGAAACGTTGGCGAAAGCGACTCTCCAAGGCTGCTCAACAGAGATGGAAGAGAAAGCAGGCTGGTGAAGAGCAGCCTGGCCTCAGAAGACAAGTTTTGAAAACGCCAACCCCACAAGGGAGCAAGCGTGCTGGGACAGCCTCTCCGACTCCGTCCAACAAGCGTGCAAAGCCCGATGAGACAAACGCTGACGATACCCCTACTTTGCCGGCTCGGATGCCAACGGCTGCAGAATCCCATCGGAGGAATTGTCAAGACGACCCTATTGGGGCCATCTTCGGCTACTATGATGATCCGGTAAAACCTCTGGCGCCGGGGATGGATATTGACCATTTCTGGGAATATGGAGATTGCGATCAAGAGGAGCCCGCCAGCGAGTGACAGCCTCTACGGCGATCCGCTCCCGGCTGTCGACGAGCGTCATGGATCATACGAGACGAGAAAATTACCGGTGGGGGATAAATGGCTCTCCGATGTTCTTTGGTAAGATAGCTTGCGCAGCTGAAATCTAAAGTGATATCTGCGAACGCCTCTACTTGGAGAGTAGATGGGTCCTCGCTCTCTGCGTCAAAAGGTCCCGGTTGTCCTAAAGCAGAAACAAGAGTAGTTCAATCACTTGATAATCCATGACGGATTTCAACTCTTGAGGTGTCAGAAGTCTTTTTTGGATCCGTTTGTGTAACTGATTCTGCATAGAGGGAAAGCTTCCGACACCGCTTTCAAGAGAGACGGCTATGTAATCGGCTGCGCGACTTGTCCGTTATGGAAGAAGTAAGCATCATACACCCAAGTACTGTAGCTCCGAGGCACTCCGGGTAGCCTTCTGGGGAATTTGTCCATAAACATCTTCAGGCGGGCTATCAGAGGCAAAGCGGGCCATTTCCTATACCTTTGCATGGAGACCTGGATCTGCCTCCCGGATTGTATGTTAGTCAGAGTAGATCGAAGTCAGTGCAGCGTCTTCTCTTCTTCATCTGCGATGTTCAACCTTCGATTACGCAGAGAAATGTTGAACAGGAACCTGTCCAAGTGAGAACTCAGCGACAGCAGACTAGAACAATCGTTGTGCAGAGACTGGCAATTCAAATGCTGTGCTGTTTCCTAGTATTTGCCTCAATGACCAGTAGATAAGATGCGGGGTAAAGAAGGGCTATTACAGGTGCAAAGTTGCGACTAACATGCATCTCCAGCGTTCTGCGCTGGGTATAGCACGCACAAACGGGCGCGCATTAAGAGTTAGCAATCTGTGTCTGCAACTGTTTGGATGCGGCAAAATAGCAAGATTATGAGACTCACTGGTGTCCCTAGCCCGTAAATAAAACCAGAACTCAAATTTAGTTCATAGTTCTAGCCATCGTGCTCTGTTGGTGCTAATGCAGCATCGACGGCAGCATCAATGGGAGGCGGGGTAGGTTTCCGTCGAGAGAGCGTTCATGATATACTGGCCAAAAGCAGTGCATCGCAATTGAGCCATTTATAAGAGAACCGATTGACTTATTCTAGAAGTGGTTCTACTGGTAACGTAAATGCATACACAGAAGCAATGATCATGAGAAGAAAGAACCATCGGAGGAGTGAATCAGCCGACCCACAGCAGCAGTATGAGATCATCACGCCTCCGCTCCCCTCTTCTCCCTCAGTGTGCACGTTTATAAGTGAGTGACTTCCCCTCCTCGCATTGCCTTTTCCCACTCACTAACCGCTCAGATCCACTGCCACCTTCGTCGACAATGGCAGCCCTCAAAGGTCTACGCTCAACCTACCGCCTGAACTCCGGCCACGAGATTCCCGTCCTAGGATATGGAGTAAGTCCTCGCCCGCCCCCTCACGCACCTCCACAACATTACTAAATGCAGACAGGTCTACATGATGTAAGTCAATTCCTGCTTCGCTTGCATGCAAATGCTGCAGTGGCTTACTCTGCCAAAGCCCCCAATCCCAAACGGAAAAGGCCACCCTTGAAGCTCTCGGAATCGGCTACCGTCATGTATGCATGCCTCTTTTCTCCACCCTTCTCGCCCCAAGAGCTCAATCTAACGCGCATCCTTACAGGTGGACTCGGCAATCATGTACCGCAACGAGAAAGCCTGCGGCCGCGCCATCGCAAATTCCGGCCTCGACCGGTCGGAGATCTTCTTCACGACCAAGATTCCCCCGGAGAAGATGGGCTACACTCGCACCAAGAAGGCTATCGACTCCAGTCTGCGCGAAGCGGAGCAGGAGTACTTTGACCTGTGAGTTGTCCCTATACCACCATCTCCTTCCATCAAGTCTCGCTGGTATTGCGGGACACTGCAGCGGAAAAAAAAAGAAAAGAAAAGAAAAACTAACAACGCTGACAAGCATCCTTATTCATGCCCCTTACGGCGGCAAAGAAGACCGTCTAGGCTCCTGGCGAGCGCTGGTGGAAGCCCAACAAGCGGGCAAGACGAAATCCATCGGGGTGTCCAACTACGGGGTCCACCATCTGGACGAGCTGGAGGAGTACATCAAGAATGGTGGCGGCGGGCAGATCGACGTCGGCCAGTACGAGTTGCATCCCTGGTGTGACCGCCCCGAGATCGCCGCGTGGCTCCAGAAGCGCAACATCGTCGTTCAAGCCTATTCGCCTCTGGCGCACGGGACGAGGATGAGCGAGCGAGTACTCAAGGCATTGGGCCAGAAGCATGGCAAGTCGCCGGCGCAGATCATGATCCGGTGGGGTTTGCAAAGGGTAAGTCGTGGAACGAGTCTCTTCTATCTTTGCCACGCATCCCGCTCGAGTTGGTTCTAACATGACATCTATAGGGCTTTGTCCCCCTTCCCAAATCGGTGACACCCAGTCGGATCAAGGAGAATGCGGAGGTGTTCGATTTCGAGCTGTCGGAGGAGGATATGAAGGCATTGCAGACGGGGGTCTACTCGCCCACGGACTGGGATCCGACGGTGGATTATGATTAGACAGCTGTATGCCTGGCAGAAGAATGGCCTATAGACAATGAGAGACAAAACTGAGGTGATTACCGTCAACGATGTACTGGGCAAACAAGAGAGTGAATGAGGATATGCAAATGTATATGTAAATGAGCGGGCGGGCCGAGTCGAAATCGCCGATCGGAACGAGGGACGCCGTCCAGAATTTGACCCCGCGGCGCGGGGTTTGGCTGCTTAGCAATTCATCCACATTCGTCCGTTATCTTCCTCTACCCTCTTCACATTTCTCCAAGCCTTCCAAGTCCTCATTTCCCTCTGACTCCCACCCCCCTTGCATCCGAATCGCCTGCCCTGCACATATTGCAGGGTGCTCAGAGATCAATCATCACCATGAAACTAATCCTCTCCACCTCGTAAGTGGCGACCCCAGTGGAAATCCCGGCACTCCCTCCTCCCAATTCCACCTCCATCCCGGCCGTGATCCCGGCGATCGCCCTGGGGAACAAAGACAACGAAAAAAAAAAAAATCCCAGTATCCCAGTCCACCAAGCCAATCAAACTAACACACTCCCAGAAATCTGATGCTAGGCGGCCATCCCATCATCCGTCAACTGACCGAAAAGTCCAATGTTGAGCTGATCAACTCCCTGCGTGCCAACTTCCAAGCCGCGCAGCAACAGCGCAGCGACGGGGCCCCGACGACGGCGACGGCGACGGCGACAACGACAGCGAAAACAGAGCAGGGAGCACCGCGCTACGCATCGTGGACGAAACAACACGACGACACCCTATACATCCCATCCACGGAGTTCGGGTACGGGCTGTCGGAGGAGCGGTCGGCGTACGACATCACCGTCAAACTCTTCTACCTGCCGGGGATCCCGGCGTCGCGGCGGTGCGCGCACACGCGGGAGGCGATCGACCTCGTGCTCCGGGAGCTGCACGTCGACTCGATCGATCTGCTTATTGTCTCGTTTCCGGGGATCTTGTTCGACGCGGATGATGATAGCGAGGTGGAGGAGGACGACGAGGATGCGGACGCGGACGGGGCCGCCGGGTCGTCGGATGCCGGCAGCGAGGAGGATGATTTCGACAGTATCGTCCAGACGTGGCGGACGCTGGAGGGGCTGCAGGCGCAGGGAATGATCAAGCAGCTGGGCGTGGCGGAGTTTGGCAGCGAGCGGCTGGCGCGCTTCCTGCCGCATACCAAGGTCAAGCCGTCGGTGGATCAGATCAACCTCAAGGACTGCTGCGTCGTGCCCAAGTCGTTGATCCTGTACGCCAAGCAGGAGCGGATCCAGCTGCTGACGCACAACGACTGCATGGATATCCTGCCCGTTGGCACGACCCGGGAGCTGCTGGGGCCCGGCGCCAAGGGCGCGGGCATCCTCGCCTCGGCGCCGGACGCGGACGATGGCATCCAGGGCGACGTGGCGCCGCAGTGGGTGGTCAAGTACACGGCGGTGGTGAAGGATCGCGGGGTGGTGGAGAACAAGGGCTACTTTGCACTGGCGGACGTGGGCAGCTGCGTCAAGCCATGATGTGTGTGATATTGTGATCTGCAAGCATTCCACGATTTGCATGGGGCAGCGCGGCGTTTCTTTCTTTCTTTTTTTTTTGTGTCCTTCCTTGAAATTTAGTGATGATAAATGAAGCATAGTTCTATCCATTAATCTATCCCCATCAAACCAGTCTCCCCCCCGCCCCCTTTTCAAGCCTCAGCCCAACATACTCTTCTTCCTCCCGCGCAAACGCACCTCCTCTAAACGCTTCAACACCGACGCCGCCCCGCGATAACTAGCGCGATACCCGTCCAACACCTCGGCGAAAAACGCCTCCGTGCGGGGATGGGTACTCCCAAACGCGCGTTCAAGCACATACAAATCCACCGCGCGATCCTCATCCTGGACACTCTGACTCGCGAGGCCGAAATCGATGAGCACGACCTCGCCCTCCAGATCCACCTCGCCCTCGCCCTCGCCCTCCTTCTTGGAGAACGCAGGCCTCAGAATGAGATTACTCGTCGTCAAATCCCCATGGATCACCCCGGCCGCATGCAACCGGCCAACGGCGGCCCCAATCCGCCGCAGCAGGTCCTTCATCCGCTCCTCCTCGCGCTTGCACTCCACATGTCCGTTGTCCCCGTGGTCGCCATGGTCGCTATGGCCATCCACCTCCATTTGCACCTCAGACCCAGGCCCAGACCCAGACCCCCCATCGGCCTGTCTCCGCCGAGACAAAGGGCTGCGATCGTCCGCCGCAAACCGCGCCAGCATCGCCCGCTCCCACGCCTGCACCACCACCCGCACCACATCGCCCTCCACCCACTCCATCAGCAGCCACGCCCCGCCGTACCGCTCCTCGCCCGTGGCCGTGTCCACCACCACCGTCTGCCCCTCCCAGTCCACCGCGTACAGCGCCGGCACCGCCACCCCCTCGCGTACGAGCTTGGCCAGACACCGGGCTTCCTGGAGGATGCGCTGGCGCGTCAGGCGTCGGTCCAGGACCGGGTGGCGGTAGGGCTTCGAGGGCCGGATCTTCAGCGCCGCCGGGTGGGTGGTCGCGTTCAGGTAGTGGGTCTTGTAGAGGTGGGCTTCGGCACCCTGCGTGAGGAGGATCGGTGGGGGTGGCGTTGTTGTAGTAGTAGTAGTTGTGGTGGTGGTGGTAGTAATAGCTGGTGATTGTGTGCGGTGTTGGTGGTGGTGGTGGTGGAAGGGCGGGGGGAGAGGTGGGGGTTGGTATTCTTCGATCATCTTGGTTGTTCTTGGTGGGAAGGAAGTCGGATTCGGTGGGGTTCGTCGGATGGTGAAGAGGGTGATATAACGTGCACAGGCAGGTGGGTTGGTCAATTGAGACGAGTTGGTGGTTAAGAAGAAAGGTTAAGGAAGGTTGAGGTTGTATAGACAGTGGCAGAAGAGGAACGAACGGCAATGCGAAAAGTTCTGGCGGGGCCTTCCCTCCCGCCGCGGTTATTAAGCGCTGTCCGCATTTGGCTGTCAACTACGGAGTAGACGATACCTTGACTACTTGTGTAGACTATCAAGTTATGCTGTTATGCTGCTGACTCTCAGGATTGCTACTGCTTCACTCACTACACTCATACGCCCCACATCAAGCAAGCATCCATGATATCTTATTCAGACTCATTGAATCGTCTTTCGTCTGCTCGTAAAATACAAGACAGCCGCCTACCTCGCGGTAATCGCTAAATCATGACTGTACAGTACACTACTAAACGCCTGGTATGCGACCGACTTTTCCGTGTCCAGAATCAAATCCCTTTTATACAAGCCCCTCCCGGCCTCAAGCCCGCGCCTTGCGCTTCGCTCGCGCCCGCTCCTGAGGTGCCTCGTAGACATCCGTCCACGCGTCTTCGAACGTCGTCTTCCTCGGCCCAATCTGGCCCTCGAAGAAGTTCATCTTGCGTACAACTTCCATCGCACCGGTACCCAGCGACACCGTCTTGCCCATGATGATACACTCGGACACACCCTCGATCAGATCCGTCCGGCCGGCACCACCGGCATCGAACAGATGGTCGGCGGTCTTTTCGAAGGACGCCAGCTGCAGGACCGAGTCACGCATCTTGGCGAGACCGAATCGCGTAATACCCAGAACTTCACCCTTGTAGGTCATGACGTCGGCCAGAAGCTGCATGTGTCGGGGATCAATGTCCATGTCCTTCATGACCTCGCTGATTTCCTGGACGATCGTCGACCGGGCCGCTTCAATACCGAGCACTTCGCGCGTCTCCATGATGTTGTTAGTGGTCGTGCGAAGACCGTCTACGCCCATCGTGGTCATACACGCCCTCAACCCGTAGCCTTCCACCAGAAGGGTGTTGGTGGTCGACGTCTCATCCGTTCGGATAATCGCACGGTAGGCCTGGGGGTGACCAAGCACCTGGATATCAGGGAGCATCCGCTTCAGATGCTTCAACCGCAGGAAAGGATCCGCACTCGTGTGCGCAATCTCGGTCTTGGATAGAGATGCTTTGCTAGATGGCTCAACATCCATGTAGACGTGGATGTGTGAGCGCGAGCATCGGAACTTGAGATCGTCCGCCTTGAATCGCTTGTGGCTCTTGATCGCAGCCAGAATGTTCTCGATCTTCAGTTCCAGCGCCAGATCCTGGATAGTCTTCCAGTTGATCTTGACGGTGATGTAGGCTTCCTTGCCAGTCCATGTCTCGCGAACGTAGTGGATAATGTCGCGAAGATACGTCTGCTCAATACGACCCTTGACAATACGGGCGGCAATGATGTTGTCCTTGGTGACTAGCTCGCAAGCAACGACAGGCGTACTGATCTCTTTGGAGGCGTTGATGATTTCCTTAATACGGGGGACACCCTGAGTGATACTCATACCGGCAACACCAGCAAAGTGGAAAGTCTTCAACGTCATCTGCGTACCGGGCTCACCGATAGACTGCGCACCGACGGCACCAACAGCATGGCCGGCTTCAACCTGAGCCTTCTTGTACTTCATCAAGCACTCAGTGATGAAAGTCCGCAGGGTGCGCTCAGTCAGCTTGCCCGTGTGGTTCAGACCCTTTTGACTTCTTTCATCAGAGGGATCGATGTCACCACCGCGAGAAATCAGCTTGTCCGCCTTGGTCGCAACGTACTGCTGGATGGACTCGAGGAAATCACGGGCACTCTCAAATTGGTCAATGCCGTGGTCACTGCGGTCCATGTAAGCCAGAGTGTTGCCCATCAAATCCTTCCGTACCAGCTTGGCACGTTCTTTCGACAGCATCTCCTCGCAGACTTCCATGATTTCAGCAGGAAGCAGACTCGGCTCGTCATTCGAATAAGTGATGGATTCTGAATGGATGAAAGTCCGGTCAAAGTGAACGGGCTTGGCCTTGCCCTCCATATCCACCGGATCCAGCTTGTCGTCACCATACTGGAACTGGACAATCGCTGCGGACGAGTTGCGGACGGTATCATCGTACCTGGTGGAAAGATCTTCCAGGGATTTCATCAACCGACGAGACATGTAACCGGTTTCGGCCGTCTTGACGGCAGTATCGACCAGACCTTCACGACCGGACATGGCGTGGAAGATGAACTCCGTAGGGGTGAGACCCGAGAAGAAACTGTTCCGCACGAAACCCTTCGATGGAGGCTGACGGGCATTCTTCGGGAAATGAGGCAAGGTTCGGTCTTGGAAGCCGTCCTGCACACGTTGGCCACCAATAATCTGCTGACCGACAAGGGCAACCATCTGAGACACGTTGATGCTAGAACCCTTCGATCCGGACGTGGCCATGATCAAAGGAGAGTTGTACTTGCTCAGTTGAGCGATACACTCGTCACCAGCCTGCTGACGGACCTTACTGAGAATACCAGACAGCTGGTTCTCCATGGTTTGCAACTCGTCACAACCAGGATACTTCTCAAGTGTGCCAGCCTTGTACTTGGCAATGACCTCGTCACAGGCTGCGTATGCAGTCTCGACCAGGTCGTGTTTCGAGCGCAACAGCTTCTCGCTGGGATATACGTCGGTGATACCGATGGAGAAGCCCATGTTTGTAAACCAACGGGCCGACAATTTTGACAAGCGGTTCATACCCTCGGCAGCCGCCGCTGGACCGTAATCTCTCAGCATGATGTAGAACACGTTGTCCTTCTTTCCGGAACCGATAGTGGACTTATCCATCACACCACACATGACCTCGGAATTACGAATGACGAGCCAACCATCCTTGGGGTCGAGATCCTTGGGTCTACCATCCTTCGGCATCTTGAACTCTCTGCAAGCGGCATCCAGGTTGACCAAGCATGGGTCATCCTTGTTCGGCCGCATGAGGATATTGAAGACTTGCTTTCCAGTCCACAACATCTGTGGTTTCAGCACGGAGGGTGGGGGAAGATCAAAGCGGGTTTGAGGACCAAGCATGTAAAGACAGATCTGGGTGAACGAGCGACGATCGAAGAAGTTGTCCTTGCTACTGAGGACGTAAGCAGCACTGATGAAATCCTGGATAGCAGAAATAATAGGCTCTCCGTTCTTGGGTGTGGCCAAGTTGTTCTTGACACCCATGAGTTCCATGGCTTCAGCGCGCGCTTCTTCCGTCTGGGGAACGTGCAGGTTCATCTCGTCACCGTCGAAATCAGCGTTGTAAGGGTTGCAGACACACTCGTTGAGACGGAAAGTCCGGTGCGGGCGGACTTTCGCAAAGTGGGAAAGGATACTGAGTTTGTGCAGGGACGGTTGGCGGTTGAACAGAACAATATCACCATCCTCAATATGACGCTCGATAACATCTCCCTCCTGGAGCTGGTCGGCGATCATGTTCAAGTTACCATACTTGAGGAAGAGCTTGAACGTCTGACCCTTCTTGGTGATATAGTTCGCTCCAGGCCACTTCTTCGTTCCGTTCCGGACTCTCTGCTGCAGCTTCTCCTTGTTGTAGCGAGTCACGACTTCCGGGTAGGTCATGTTCTTCGCCACAAGCTCAGGAACAGCGACCTCGTCAACGCGCAAGTTAGGATCGGGAGAAATGACCGTACGGCCGGAGAAGTCGACACGCTTTCCAGACAAGTTACCACGGAAACGACCCTGTTTTCCTTTCAAGCGCTGCACAAAACCGCGAATGGGCTTTCCCAGATCTGCCTTGTTCAAACCCGGAACGTCACTGTTGATGTAAACGGCAATCTGCAGCTGCATGTAGTCCCAACACTCCATGATGGTCTGCACTGGCGCACCCTTCAGCAGCGCATTCTTGAGGTTGATGTTACTCTGGACAATATCTCCCAACTTGGCAGTCAAATCGTCCTCGGTCGAGGCCGCGTCTTGACCAACGGAGGGACGGATACAGACTGGAGGAGCAGGGATGAACTGCCAGAGAAACATCTCTGGTCTAGCCTCCTTCGGGTCTAGACCCAGCAATTCACAATCCGTATCGGAGATCTTCTTGAACAGGTTCAGCACGCGCAGGGCGTTCATATCATCCTGAGCCTTCTTGTAATGCTTTTCGACCTCGGCATTTGATGTACGCGCTTCGTCGAAAGACCGGTCAAAGACAATCTTGCTGGGCGGGGGCACCTTCTTGACGGAAGTCGAGGCGTTGAAGGCACGGAATTTGTCGTGGGTGATCTTCAGCGCGCTGGTACCGGCCTTCTTGACCACACCGTTCACGGCACCGCAGTGCTCGCAGTTGCGGGTCTTCTTGCACCGCTCGTTGATGCGCTTCGCAATCTGCATCCGTCGCAAGTTGTCCAGGCCGGGGCGACGCATTTCGCGGAGGAAGGCACGGCGATCGGCTTCGGGAAGGAGGATGTGGGAGCATTCTTTGCAGATTTCCTGGAGAATGGTAATGACTCGCTTGAAGTAACCGACGTGGAAGGAAGGTAGGACGAGCCTGACGTGACCGAAGTGTCCGTTACAGACCTGGAGGGCGCCACCACAGGTTTGACATGTCGAGGTCTTGTTCGAAATACCCATGCGCGCGTCGAGGGGGCCATTGGCGACTACGGCTCGGTCATGTTCGAGATCGAAGAATTTCCGGTCGGAGACTTCCACCACACCTTGGCTGACGATGTCGTCGTTGGACCTTCGCAAGACAGAGTCAGCATCCCCTCTCCAGGTTGCTTCCGCGACACAGGAAGACGGGGGAGGAAGGCAGGAAGGAGTTGAAAACCCCAAAGATTACTTACAGAACACCGAACTTCAGTTCCTTGATGACTTTGGGGACGCGGTCAATGACCTGGGCCTTGCCCAGGTCGACCTGCACACCTTCTGGAGGCTGCATCACGGTGGTCAAATGATGATCATGGCAAGATGACAGTGACTCAACGGAGATGGATGCGACGGCACTGGAATGAGTGCGCTCGCAAGAGGTATTGACCGCAGTAGTCGTAAGTAAAACTGTCAAACCAAGCGGCACGCCACCTCAGACCAGTCAGTGATTTGCGGTAGAATCGGAGAAAAGACGGCGACGACGGGAGGGGAGAGGGGGGGGGGGAGAAATTGCAGACCATTGCGGCGGCGGGGTCGGCGACGACGAACTTTTCTACGGTTAAATTGGAAGCTCCGTCCGAGGCCAGCTTCCCCCGGTCCGTCCAATCACAGTGCGCGGATACCGCTGCGGCATTCTTCACTCGGCCGCAGTAAATACAGGTACAGTATAACTAGTACTACTGCATTTAAACATTATGGATGTCATGAATCGAACAAAACACGTATATATGGTATATGTTATAGGTTGAGAACTATGGTACAGTTGAATTGTGAAACCCACCCTGCTGTTGCCTCCTCATTTCGACAAGAAATTCTGGAATGCCTTCTGTTCAATCACCACATTGCCCACAGCCCGGAGTCTCTTGCGACCCTCCTTCTGCTTCTCCAACAGCTTGCGGCGTCGACTGACATCACTAGCATGAAGCTTGGCCAGGACATCCTTCCGATAGGGCTTCACGGTTTCACGAGCCACGACCTTGCGCCCAACAGCTGCCTGGATGATAATCTCGAAGAGTTGGCGGTCCACATGCTCCTTGAATTTCGTCACCCATTGACGACCAAGTCGATCCGCTTGGCTGTAGTGGACGATGCGAGCGACAGCATCCACCGGGGCTTTGTTGACCAACAGCTGCAGCTTGACAATACTGCTCGGTCTCCAGGCCGACTCTTCGTAATCCAGAGAGGCATAGCCCTTCGTGTTACCCTTGAGCTTACCGAAGAAGTCGTCGACCAACTGCGCCAATGGAAGTTCATACTTAAGAATAACCTGAGTAGACGTGAAGTACTCGAGGCTCTTCTGTTCTCCACGGTTGTTTTCACAGAGTTCGATGACCTTTCCTAGGTACTCATCCGGGAAAGTCAGAGTGGCCGTAACGTAGGGCTCATGGAATTCCAGGACCTTCGCGCGTGCTGATTCGTCGTCGGGGAACTTGGCCGGGTTACTGATGATCTCCTCTCTGCCGTCCTTGTACACGATCTTCACGGGAACTGACGGAGGAGTGATGATAATACTGGCTCCGTGCTCCTGGCGCAGACGATCCTCGAAAACAGAGCAGTGAAGAGTTCCCAGGAAGCCCAAGCGGAAACCGGCACCCAAAGCCTCCGAGGACTCCTTCTGCACTGTGATACTTCTGTCATTCAACATGAGCTGATTGATACTGTCCTCCAGGTGCTCGAAATGATCTGCATCGACAGGGTAGGCGGCCACGAAAACCATCGATTTAGGTTCTTCGAAACCCGGTAGCGGTTCCACAAGCTTTTCCGATCCCACTTTCGTGTACGTATCACCAATCTTGGCTTCCTTACTCCGCTTCATGCCCGGGTTGAAGTAGATGTAGCCAACTTGGCCAGCACGGAGCACCGTCTGTGGGGTCTCATTCGGGTACATGATGCCGACTTCGCCGACGTAATACTTGAGTCCCGTAGCGAAAGAAACAAGCTGATCTCCCGCTCGGATCTCGCCATCGAACACACGGACCAAGCAGATAACACCCTTGTAGGAATCGTACCAGGAATCGACGAGGAGCATGCGCAGGGGCTTGGTGAAGTCACCGACAGGGCTGTTTAGGTCAGCTCGGATCATCAGCAAGAAAAGGGGCTAGGGATGCATACGCTGGAATCTTATCGACAACCGTAGGAAGCAGCTGCTCTACGTTGAGGCCAGTCTTAGCCGAGACCAGCACTGCGCTCTCCGTGTCCAGTTCAAAAGAATGCTTCATCTGCTCCAGAGCACGCTGGGGCTCGGCCGAGGGCAGATCCACTTTGTTGATGACAGGGATCAACTCCAGACCTTGCGAGAAAGCGAGATAGAAGTTGGCAACGGTTTGCGCCTGAATGCCCTGACTGGCATCAACCAAGAGCAAGGCGCCTCCGCAACTGGCGTAACTGCGCGAGACCTCCGCACGGAAGTCCACATGGCCCGGGGTATCAACAAGATGGAGCAGGTAATCCTCCCCCTCATGGTTATAAATCATCGTACATGTCTGCGCCTTGACCGTGATACCACGTTCCCGTTCCACATCGAGCTTGTCCAGCACCTGCTTGTTACTCCCAGGTTGGATCGTACCCGTCAATTCCAGCAACCGGTCGGACAACGTGCTCTTTCCATGGTCGACGTGGGCAACGATGCAAAAATTGCGGTATCGATCGATCGGGATAGCGGCGATTCTGTTCTCGAGATCCGATTTATGGACAGTGGAACCTCTGGCGGAGCGTGATGCGGAGTTGGCGAAAAACCGAACGGAGGAAGAAAGGCCGAATGGCGGCTGGAATAGGCTAGCAGCAGAACCCTTCGGCGCTGCGCTCAGCCACCTGGCTAACTGCAGGCATCCTCGCATTGGGAGGTCTGCACTTGCATGGGAGTGAAGTGTTTGATGGTGGGGGAGGGAGGGAGAGTATAGGATGGTCAGTGGGCGAGATCTCGCGGGCGGGAAAAAAAGGACGGCTTTTGCGGAGACGCTCGATTTGCGCGGGCGGTGGACCGAATTGCCGCGGCGACAAATGGTGTAAACAAATCCGTCACTTTTTCCACTGCATCTGCAGCTCTTGCCCGCAACACACAGCATCCCAAGTCCCTCCTCATATCGCATTATACCGCTATGTCGGCTGCAAAATCCAAGGTTCACAAGCTGTCCTTGAAAGGTACGATCCAAAGCCTCCTGAGATAGACCGGTGCAGAACGCTCACAGGTCGATAGGATCGGCGAAGTTGGTCGCAGAATTCGTGAGTACCTTACCAAGTGATATGGCTTTCTTGTATCTAATATACATAGTTCGAATACTCCATCAATTCTATCCTGTAAGTGTCTGTTTGATAATGGCCCAGCCTTCATCGTCCATTGACATTTCGACCAGTTTCCAGCGGGGCGTGTATCCTCCGGAGGACTTCACTACGCAAGTGCAATCTACCTGAGCACATTGAGGAGCTCTCTAACTCTTTCTACAGGGTCAAGAAATATGGTCTCAACATGCTCGGTTGGTCTATCTCCATCAGTTTATGCCCTCGATCCCAATATTGATCAAGCCCAGTCACCTCCGACGACCAAGTCAAAGCCTACATCAAGAAGATCATGTCGCAATTGAACAAGTGGATGATGGGAGGGAAGATATCGAAACTCGTGGTTGTAATCACAGACAAGGAGACTGGAGAGCACGTAGAGAGATGGCAGTTTGACGTACGCCTGAGGTCCTCCCTCACCAAGCACACGGAGACTAACCGGAGGCACCAGGTCCAAATCTTCGGCAAGCACTCCAAGAGCCACTCTTCCAAGTCGACTGGCGACAAAGAAAATGCTACTCCAGGGTACAGACTACATTCTTCTCTCGAAACCACACAAGCTAACCAACACCCCCACAACAGCGACAAGGAACCCCAACCCGCCAGCGTGGAGAAGACGGAGAAGGAAATTCAGGAGGAAATCCAGGCGATCTTCCGGCAAATCACCGCCTCCGTGACCTTCCTGCCCGTGCTGAACGGATACTGCACCTTCAATGTTCTGGTGTACGCGGACGCCGACTCCGAGGTCCCCGTCGAATGGGGCGACAGCGACGCGAAAGAGATCAAGAACGCCGAGAAGGTTCAACTCCGGAGCTTCAGCACGAACAACCACCGGGTCGAGACTCTAGTCAGCTATCGCCTGGCGGATTGATTGATTGAATATCTATGTTTTTCTTTTGTTTCTTCTTTTCAACTGGCGTTGTGGAATGAGAGGAAGGCGGAGCAGCATCTGGGACATTTGACATTTCGGGGACCTTCATAAATCCAGCCCATGTATTCTTTCCAAACTCGCACACAATGAACGACTTCAATGAGCCAAGGCACTCCTTCAGCTACCTACTATCGCTAAACGTACCAAGGCAATTCCTCCAACCCGTCGAACCACTCATTCCCACTCCTCCCTCCCTTCCACCGAACCAACGCCTCGACCACCCCCTCCAACCCATCGACATCCCTCAGAACCCCCTCCTCCATACCCACCGTCCACCCCCTCGCCGCCCTCTTCCCCCCTAACACCCGCCCAACCCCATACCTATCCCCCCTCCACACCCCAATCCCCCTCTCCTCCTCCCCCGCTACCAACTCCCGTAACGGCGTCACCACCTCCGGCGGATTGATGCCCACGACCTCGACCTCGACCCTCGACTCGGACCCTCCCAGCCCGACAGCCGGAAAGTGCACCTCCGCGAACCGCGCCCGCTTGAACGCATGCGTCACCACCGTCACCCGCGTCGGATACCTGCCAGCCACCGCCCGGAACCGGAGCAGTGAGAACAGGACATTCTGGTAGGAGTCGGTGGCGCGGTTCTCGGCGACGAGCCGAGTCGGGTCGATAGCTGGGGCGAATTGGAAGTAGTTGTTGGCGCGGGCCAGGTTCTAGTTGGGTTATGAGTATGTATATGTGAGTGACAATTGGGGCTTGCTTTGCGTGAGACTGTGTTGGGGGGGGGTTCATCGGTCCATGCTCGTTTTCTCCGAGAATATCGTTTTTGATAGAATTGTGGGTGAGTGTAGTCCACACTCACGGTTAGGTAGATACTGCGCCTAACACGAAATAGATAGACTGGTACTGTGTGCTATAAGCTAGGCAGGAACTTACAAGATATGATTCCCCTTCCGCTAGAGGCGTGCGGGTCGGTTTCGTAGGGCCCCTGTATATTGGCACCCCATCGTTCCCGATCAGTTTGCATCCCGTATGTGCCCTCTTCTCTTGGAGACCAACTAGCCCGGATTGAGGGCACTCCCCGGCGATAGAGATAGCGGGAGTGTGGGTAGACATACCCCGAGAACACAAGCAGGCTGTCCGGATCCTGGGCTGCGAGACAGAGGCCCGCCTTGACGTGTGCGGTGAACGTGGGCGTTTCGCCTTTCTGGAAGGGTTCGATTTCCCTTCAACAGTGTCAATATCCGGAGCTGGGTTCTTGGCACGAGTAGTCAAACAGAAGTTTAGAAGTAGGATACAACACTGACCATTCGTCCTCGGAGAGGCCGTGGGTTGGACCACCCTTGTATATGGCGTGACAACAGACGATGATTAGGTGGGTGAGCGGGTAGGTCATTATCGAGACTTGGTGCAGTGGTCGAATTGCGTTTCTGATGCAGGTTTGAGAACTGAGATAGAGGTGGATGATGGAGAGGTTTGGAGACTACTGGGTACGCAGTTGATACAGCTACATACAGATCAAAAGCACCTGACTGATCGTTCGAGTGTTAGTGTATTACCTAAGCCGATAACCTCAGTGGTTACACTACTGAATTGCGCCTTGAGAAATTTGACCGGAGTAGCTATGATGATATTGATTGAGAACATGTAAGAAGGGAGAAGCCCAGGCGCAAGCTCTGACACACCGATTTCGTCCGATCGAAGCTGGCCTCATATTGATAATCTTCCAGCTAAACATCAGTAATATACATATCGATCTGGTGAAAACCATACAACAATATATGGCCATACCCCAGCCGAGCAATGTGAACGATCCGAAGAAAAGGTAGGATGGATAGTGATGAAGAATAAAGAGAAAACGAAGAAGTAAACAACGAAAGAAGCTCATCCACAATCAACAAACTCCGTCGAATCCCATGCATGATATGCAATCACAGAGGTAACTATGGTATCATGTCATCAACACACAGATGGTTGCAAGGAAAACCAGCTTGCCAGACATAATGACGCCGAAAATTGACAGCAGCAGAGGCATATGCAAGGGTACAGTGTACATTTTAAAAGAGTAGGTGTTTTTTTGGTGTCTGCCGAGCAAATACAATGATGTAAGAAAGGGACAGAAGCGAGAAGAAGGCGTCGGCAGAGGGTATCAGAAGATGAAGAGGGGGAGAACAATATTACGTTTAAATCAACGGATCGTGGCGATATGTGCAATCATCACCTTTGCGGCATTTCCCGCTCTGCCAATACCGGCAAGGTACAGACCCTGCCTTGGGCTATCTGCCAGTTAGCTCGTTGCCTGCATGATGATTGGATTTACCGAGAGATACTTACATGCTTCTTGCCAAGATCATTATACCTGTTCCGCTTGGGATAGCTGTACCTGTCATCATCGGTCCCATCATATCCACCAGACTCGCGAAGGCGCTTGCGCTCCGGGTCCTCAAAATGCCCAGTGTGTTGAGGCGGGTTGCCTGCGGTGGGCTGGTTCTGGCCATTGATCTGGGAGAAAATGGCAGCGAGATTGGGCGCAATGCTGGGTTGAGACGGTGGAGCTTGCGGGGCAGTAGCCGCCGGCTGCATCTGCTTTTGTGCATTCATGATTGCCAGGATATTTTGGAGATCAATGGCCTGGCCTGTTGCAGGCTGAGGGGCTGCAGGAAACTGGGGCATCTGCAACATGGGAGGCTGAGAGGTTGGCTGTGGCTGCGGCTGCGGCTGCGGCTGACAGAACATGCTGAACGTCCGTTCGAGATCCGAGATGGGCGCGGCTGCCGGCTGAGTCTGGGGGGGAGGGGTTGATTTTGGTTGTTGGGGCGCACTCTGAATAATCTTCAAGAGATTCGAAATATCGAATGGCGCTTGAGCGCTTGCTGCGGGCGCGGCTGCAGGTGGCGGCTGAGGTTTGACCGCTGCGATATATCGGTTTTGACGGGCCTGCGGAGATATTGTGAGCACGCAGTCGGTTCGTGCGACATACAAAAACGGGATACGCACCTTGACATGGTCCGGAACCTCGCCAAAGGAGACCGCGACAGTTGTGGGTTCTTCATTGTCGGGTGGCGGGGGCTCTTTGGGCGTTGACGGCACGTCCGCAGGCGAAGTATAGAACACCATAAGGGTCGTTGCCTCACGATACTCTTGAGCCTTCCTCTCCGCACTTTCCGGAACTTCAATGCCACCACGCTTGATGAAGTTCCGGCCACGTTCCTCGTAAGGCATGTCCTCGAAGTCGATTTCTAAAGGATTGTCAGTGACTCCAAAGGCCGACACCCGAGTATCTTCAGTGAGACTTACCGGACGGCAGAAGGTATTCGAGCAACTGTTCCTCGCGAAAGCCGCCTTCTTCGTCTTCCTCCTCGTCGAGATCACGGTGAAGCTTCAGCACACTACCTTCACCCTTCACATCACCCGCTTCACGCTGCATGCGATCGCCGGGACCAAGCTCCTCGTCAGGGTCATGGGTGAAGAGCCGGACTTCAGTTAGCGACTCGTCAGGCTTCCAGGTGACCCGCAGCCGGCGTCGAGCCTCCTTACGAAGGCGCCTCTTCCGTTCTTCCTCCGTCTCGGGCGACTTGGGTTCGGACGGCTGAGCAGGAGTCGTCTCCTTCGGCTTGTTCAGGTCTGCCATAAGGTCCCCGAACGAGAAAGTTGGCCGCGGAGGTGCAGGCTGGGGTTCTTTCCTTTCCGAGGGGTTGCTGCTTGGGATTCATTAATCACACAGTTGTGTCTTTATCATCTCGTGCAATCATCTTACCTGGTCTTCGCCGCTGCTGCCGCTGCTCGCTCAGCATTCGATGTTCCCGGTCGTTTCGAGGCCGACGAAAGACTTCCAAACAGATTGGTTGGCTTCGGCGCCACAATATTAGTCTTCGGACGAGAGGGCTGCGCTGCCGCTGCCGCTGCCGCTGCCTTGTTCTCCGGGCCTGCCTCTTGTGGCCGCCGCACAGGTGCCACAGCGCTAACGGGCTTCGCAGCATTCTTGGCATGAGACGCTACGACTACTCGCTTCGTCGCCGGCTGTCCATTGCTTTCAGTATCGCGAGGTCTTTTAGATCCAGCGAGTTCTGCCCGAGCGCCGTCGGGGGCAGCCGTAGCAGTGACAGTGCTTGTTTGCTTACTAGGCGAGCCGTCCTTGGCCGCTGGCTTCGCAGTATCCTGTTTCCTTCTGGTAGAGGCCGCAGCATTGTCCATGATCTTCTGCGCCAAGTCTCTGACAGCTGGGCCACCCTTTTTAACAAATCTAGGCAACAGCTTGGCAACATTGGTCTTCTGTAGCACATCTTCGTCCATAGTAACAAAGCGCGAAAGCAACTACGCATGGTGATCAGCGTTCTGTCAAATGAAGGGATAATGGGCGGCACCGCTTACCTTGAGTATATTTAGGGTCAATGTTCCGTTGATGTCAGCAGCCTGGTGTCGGTCCAGCAAGAACGAATACATGGCTGCCACAGCTATGGGATGCTCACCCAACCTGTAAACGTCAGTAATCTATTTTCCTCCGTCAAACTGTAAACAGGCTCAAGCAACGAAGATTATAAGTGACCGTATCTGCAGCCCCCATGACTGGTGGAGCCAAGCCGGTGGCCAGTCCATACTCAACGAGCATTGCGGAAGCACCCAGTCTCTATCGGCAGGGACCAATTTCTTTGTCCTCGGAAAGGGAAACCCTTCCCAGTCATGTTGTCTTGGTTTAGGACCAAGCGACTCGACCAGGTTGGACTCTCCACTCTGAGGAGTGAGCATTATTCACCCTTACTGACAGACACTCCTTTAATAGATGCCAAAACCCACACTAGGTAGACTACATGGGAAAGGCTCATATTTCGTTTCTGACTTCTAAAGTCACGACGGCAACGACCATGCTAGGTGCGGCAGGGGGCAGAAGCGAAAAGGAAGAAGAAAAAGAAGAGGAAAAAGAAAAAGGACATACTTCTCGACGATTATTGGATGGCCCATTTCCAAAGTCGCACAAACGACCACATCCATGAGACGGCGCTGTAAGACCACATCCTTCTTCAGCTGGGCTGCTTTATCATTATTGCCGGTATTCTCGGCCGCCTTCATGGCTTGGGAGCTGTCTTTCCATGCATCCCTTACGGTTTTCACAACGTCTTTGAATGCGACCAGCGCACTCTTGACCTTGTCCACATTGGGCCGTCGATTACGTGGAGACCACACGGCCTTTAGAGCATCATACTTCGCAGCAGCTTCGGGCTCACTAGGACGAGACACAGGCAGGGGAGACGGCTCTTCGGGTGCCCGATCCTCGATCTCAAGCTCCGAGTCGGAACTGTCGGTCTCTGATTCGGAAGACTCAGCTGTCCCGTCCACCTTCTTACTACTTCCCTTGACGGTCGTCTTGGTGGATTGAGAGGTTGTCTGTTTCTTCGTTGCCGGTTTCTTGGCCTTTCCGCCCTTTGCAGCCGCCAGTGATTGAGCCAAATTGGGACCTAGTTCGTTCAGCGGGATCTTCAGCAACCGCGGTGTAACACAACGTACCATTGAGGGGTAACACAAACTCGTATGCAGATTGCGGTTTAGGGGCAATCGGTTGGCTAGGGGCTACGGACTGCCCCATTGCCGGTGGCATCTGCAAGTCTTCCCGATAAAACGTGTAGAGCCTGAATGGTGTCAGAGCGCGCGTACGACTGGAGAAGGCAGGCGAGATAGACCTACTTTGGTTCATCTGTGCGATCATATTCAGATGGGTTGAGGTAGAGAAGGTTATTAGAGTGAAGGGCGGCTTGTTGATTAGCAGCAGCTTGCTGTGCAGAGCTGAGGAACTGCGGGTTAATGGTTTGATTAGATACGGGAGGAGTTGACCGAGTGAACTCGGTGTTGTAATCCATCGGTACTTGCTTGAAACCAGTTAGCACAGCTTGTCAGAGTTCAGAAAAGTAAAATTGACATACTGAATTTCTTTCAGCGTAGCCTGCAGGTAGTGAGTACTGCGGGACATGGTGTGGGTGTGGGTCGGATCGGAAATGTGTCGCTTGAGGCTGTGGCTGCGCCGCGGGAGGCGAATGCATATGAGATTGAGGAAAGACATCAGGCACTGGCAGATTCTGAGGAGAATAGTAGGATCGCGGAAATGTGTAGGATGGGAAGTGGGCGCTGTCCGATGCCGGGAGGGGCTGCGTGTCATATGCAGGATGTGCTGAGGAGAATTGCGGTGCTTGACGATATTGCGAAGTCATCCCGATCGGATGAGCGGTTGCCGGTAAGATGGGTTGTGGATGTAATGCAGCTGCGCGCCATGATTGCGGGGAGGAGGAATACAGACCATGATTCTGATCTTGAGGGGTCGGTAACGGACTCCGCGATGGAGGGTTCTGACCGAAAACCGGATGATCCCAGCTAATTCCTAGCGGCTGATGTGATGATTGTTGTTGT